CAGCGACGGCCTAACAAACACAAACGAAAGAGTTACCGTGAAATCAAATCTCACACGGCGCACGCCTTCAAATGATGACAACGAATGAGGGTTAAACACCAAACTGAGCTCCTGTGGCCTTGACAAAGCCCTGAGCACGCACACACAGGAAAGACACAATCATAGGTGGTGTAGGGAAGTAAAGATGAGCATGATCACTCAGAATGCAGACACATGGAAGGGAGATCGCTCAGGAGGCAGACCTGTGTCATCCTCAGAAAGAGGCATTGACAAGGAGAGCTCAGATGCTGAGGACATTCTGACCTGGAAGCTCACAGCACTGGCTACAGGAAAAGGGCCTGAGATAGACAGTCTCAGAGACCCCACAGCTGGGCGGCAGGGTGGTATGGAGGTACCACAGACTCTCGGGTGTGTTCCATGGTGGGAAAAGAGGGGAACATTAAGGATACGATGAAAAACACAAGCATCTCAAGGGACCCAACCTTCCCTTTCCTCCATATTACCACAAGCTCATCCATTAGTCAGCTGTGTTTTATGAATTAGTGTGACCTAAGCTCTCTTGAACTAGGAGTCTGAATTAGTCGGTGTTCTGTAGAGGAACAGAATTTATAGAACAAATCTCTCAGGGGATATTAGAAAGGGTATTTATTAGAATGACTTACAGGCTATGGTCCAGCTAGTCCAGCGATGGCTGACTGTGAACCGAAGGTCCAAGAATCCGGTAGTTGTTCAGTCCATGAGGCTGGATGCTCAGCTAGTCTTCCATATATGCTGAAATCCCAGAGAAGTAGGCTCCATTGCCTGCCAGTGAAGGAATGGACTTACTAGCCAGGCGTGAGCAAGCAGGTAAAGAGTAAAATCTTCCTTCTTTGTTTTGTTTTGCTTTTTCAAGACAGGGTTTCTGTGTGTAGCCCTGGCACTCACAGACCAGGCTGGTCTTGAACTCAGGATCCACCTGCGTCTGTCTTGGAAGTGCTGGAATTAAAGGCACGTGCTGCCCAATAAAACTTCCTTCTTTCACATGCTTATGAAGGCTTTCAGCAGAAGGCGTGGCCCAGATTAAAATCAGGTCTTCCCACCTCAAAAGATCTGGGTTAAAGGTGTGTCTTCCCACCTCAAAGATGCAGATTAGAAGTGGATCGTCCCACTTCAAATTAAGCAAAACATCCCTCACAGGTGTGCCCCATTAGAGAGTTTTAGTTAATTCCAGGTGTAGTCAAGTTGACACCCAAGAATAGCCACCACAGAGCCCTAGCAGCAAACTTGGGGGAATGTAAGCAGATGGCTTCTGTACTGAAGCTGTTAGCAACCTGTAGGTCTCACCCTTTCTCAGGGGTCACCTAAGACCATCAGAAAACACAGATGTTTACATTACAATTCATAATAGTAGCAAAATTACAGTTACAAAATAATTCTGAGAGCTAGCTCCCTGGCCATCAAGTCAAAATGGCAATTTCTGGTTCAGTGAAAGACCCTGCCTCCAGGCAACAGACAGAGTGCTTGGTATAGAGAAAAACACCTGATGTTTATGCTAAACCTCAAACCCTGGACAAATGAGGTGCCTATCTAACGTATCAAAGCAGACCTGGCTGCCAGGTTCTCCCAGCATCCCTCAGTGCCTACCTGTAACAGGGTATGGATCTCAGCACACCCCACCCTCTACCCTGAACTCTCCAGCCCAAGGGTTGGGTTGTCCTTCCCCCAGAGGCTCTTCCCTATATGATCCAGACATTCTGGTTACCCACCCTCTTGTACCTTTTGGTCTCTTGGCTGCTGCACCCGGTGCCCTCTCTCTTCTCTCCCTTCCCCTCCCTCCATCCCCACGTGTAGCTAGATCTCTCTACAAAGCATATCCCCTTCCAATCTCCCAAGCAAGCCACACACACCATTAGTGTTGTCTGTGTGTGATGGTAAAAGCAATAGGCACTGAAATAAAACTGATGAGCTTGGAAATAACCTATGCAGAGGGCTCAATAGGGAGTTTGCAGATGTGTGTTGTGTGTACATTGTATGTTGTGTATGTGCTGTGTTGTATGTATATTGTGTATTTATGTGTTGTGTATATCTCATGTGTTATGTATGTTGAATATGTTTGCTGTGTTGTATGTTTTTGTATACATGTTGCGTGGAATGGGTTGTATTATTGTGCTGTGTGTGTATGATGTGTGTTTTCCTGTGTGGCTTTGTATGTTGTTTGTGTATCCTACTTTCCTATGATGCACTGTATTTTGTGGATTCAGAAGTAAATGGACCTGACACGTTGAGAGTTCTCCGTCCACTCATCTCCCATCTGGAACAAGCCCTGCCTGTGAGGAGCGTCACTGTGGTCTTCATCAGTTAGCCTCACAAATTTATGTATGTGGTCTTTGTCTCTGCCCCTAGATTGTAAACTGCTGCATAGCAGAGAGGCTCTGTCTGCTCCTCCTGGCTAGCCTCCACACCCAGGCTTGTCTGATGAATGGCTACTCCAAGGAAAGCCTAACACAGGGTCCTCGCCCTTGAAGAACTCATATTATGGTAGAATTCATGTCTACAGATGGTTCAAACTAAACGGCTCCCTTAACAGTCCTTTGAGATTGTTCTAAAACCATTCTGTTTTCCCTCCTGGATGCTCTTGTCTCCTGTTCTCACCCCAAACCTCCTGTCTGCACCTAGGTCCTAAACCAGTTCTTTCCACAACTCCCTTGTTCAAGGACACACCTCCATTCCAGAATGTCGTTGCAGTTCAGTGTCAAGGACTATTTTGCTCATTAAAAAGAAATCGTATTGTGTATTTGTTAATGTTGACCTCTTCTGGAATATTTTTAACTTCTTAAAGGAGTGCTACCATATCTTGAAGTTTCTCACGCCAGCTTGCCTTCTGCTGAATGGAATGCCAAGTCCACAGTGGGTGCCCTTCAAGTTGTTCAGCTGTTAAACTCTGCAGATCTGAGCTCTGCTAAGAGGCAAGTCACAGCTGACCTTCACGGAGGTGGGCAGTGAAGCCTATTGTTAGAGCATGAATCTGGCTCCCTTTTGTTTCACTTGCTCGCCAATTCTGCCTCCTCTTTCTCTGGAAGGAAGGACCATGAGGGATCAGTTGGCCTCAGCTGGCAGGGGGTAGTCCGGACACACTGAGTGCATAGAGAAGAAAAATAAGCAGAACCTGGCTTGAGCCCTTGAGCGAGAAGACTCTGTGAGGCAGATGAAGTCCAAGCCTGAGCTTGCTGTGGGATCATTTAATGGTGTGAACTAGTTAGAAAAATTCCCAAGTATACTCCACTCATGGGAGTGTCTAGATTTGGCCATGGCTGTCACTCAAGGCACACATCTCCGCAACCACTAACCAAGGCTGATGATTCAAGATGGCGGATGATGCCCCATCTGTCTACCACCACCTGTCTCCTGTGAGGCTGATACCACAGCTCTGATGGACAGGCACATAACTGTGCCTCTCTGGCTTTGATTTAGGAAATAGACACTTTCACCTACATGTTTTCTCTTTCTTTCCCTGAACCTGCTTATTCTTCCTGAGAAAACTCCATGATAAAAGAAAAAAAAAAAAGAATTAACCAGCCAATAGGACTTAAAGAATACACTGTTAGACCAGGCGGTTGGTGGCACACGCCTTTAATCCCAGCACTTGGGAGGCAGATCAGGCAGATCTCTGGGAGTTCGAGGCCAGCCTGGTCTACAGAGTGAGTTCCAGGACAGGCTCCAAAGCTACACAGAGAAATTCTGTCTCAAAAAACCAAAATAATAATAATAATAATACACTGGTAACATAATATGTATCCATATGTGACGCTGCTAGCCTCATGCCAGGAAGGTGTATCCACATCTGACCCACAGATATGGTGAATACCAGAGCACAAGTGGATGAAGAGGTATTGGAATGCTAAAGCTTCTCTGTCAACTTGACTAGACTTGGGATGACCTGGGAAATACACCTCTGGACATGCCCATGAGAGAGAATTAACTTAGGAGGGGGAGCATCCAGGTTGGACAGTGTCAGGCTCCCGACTACTCCTTCCACCAGAGTGATGACTTCAGCCCTACTTTAAATCTGGTCCTTCTTCTACTGTTCATTCTTAGCAACTCCTAATGCTGACTTGCTGGCTCTTCTGACTGAGACTACTGGAGCGATATGAGAGGTGCCAGAAGAAGATGCCCTGCTGTGAGGGAGACCAAGGAGATAGCAATCCCATCAGCTGAATCCCCTCATACCATCCTAGTTAGATGAATCCCCCCAGATACCATCCTCGTCAGATGAATCCCCTCTAAATATTCCCTCTGCTCTGTGACCTCTGCAGGGGTCACAAACACTGAGCTATGTGCTAGGTTCAAAGCCTGCAGACAGAAAGACAAGCCAAGACACCACCTCAACATTACAAGGTGTCTTATCCAAGCACACAGGTGCCTCTTTGCTCCCACAGCTCTTGGACCTTGTGAGGCAATGCTAGCCCTCTCTATGTGATGGGCAACCTGACATACACACAGCCTGGGTCACTTTACCCCAGGCACTGAATATACGGCATCTGCTCCAAATATCACCACCCTCAGGCACCAATCTACTGTCTCCAGTGATATTTGCCTTGGTTCTCCAGACCCGCTTTGTTATGTTAATCAACTCTTGAAGGCAAATCTTTCTCAGAGATCCAGGCACCGATGGTTTCTCCCTGATTCCTTTATAAAAATGGATTCAACAATGGTTTGGTAAACCCATTCACACAAAAGTACAAAAAAAAAAGAGAAGAGTCTATTTTGTTTTTTAAAAAATGTCTTGAGGGCTGGAAAGATAAGCCAATGGTTATTGAAGGGCACATAGTACTCTTACAGAGGACCTGGGTTCAGTTCCCAGCACCCATACGGAGGCTCACAATCATTAGTAACTCTGGTTCCAGGGGATCTGTCACCTACTTCTAACCTCTGAGGGTACCAGGCACATGTGTGGTACATAAATATACATTCAGGCAAAACTACTCATACACATAAAAATAAATAATAAATAAATCTAAAAAGCGTTTTGATTATTGTATATTAATGAAATATAAGTCTGGGTTTTTGACATTTTCATACACGTACATAATATATTTTGATTCATCCGAACCCAGTACTCACTTTTGACCCCACCCCAACTCCTGATAATCTCCTTCCTCTTCCTAGTCTTTCTACTTTCATGCCTTTGTTTTTAATTTAAAGAAATGAATAACAAAGTACAATACCTGAGCATCAGTAGTACATATCTGGTAGATGTCTGTGAGAGTGTAAATGAGAATGTCCCCCATGGGCTCAGATATTTGAGCACTTGGTCACCACTTGGTGGTGCTGTTTGTGGAGGTTTTGGAGGTGAGGTCTTGCTGGAAGAAATATGTCATGGGGGGGGGGTTGAGTGGCAGCCCCACATCTTACCTTGAATCACATCTTACCTTTATTCACTCTATTAAGTTAGTACGGTTGGTTGGAATTTAATTGCAAAGCTGTCACTGGAGTTGGCTGCTTTTTTTTTTTTTTAACTCTTTTGGTTCTTTGCTCTTTGGGGGGCCCACCACCCAGCCCCCAAATAATCACACAGAGTCTTACTCTTATTTATGAATGCCTGGCCTTAGCTTGGCTTATTTCTAGTCAGCTTTTCTTAACTTAAATTATCCCACCTACCTTTTGTCTCTGGGCTTTTACCTTTATTCTACAGACCTTTCTTTACTTCTTACTCTGTGGTTGCTGTGTAGCTGGGTGGCTGGTCCCTGGAGTCCTCCTCCTTCTCTCAATCCTAGATCTCTTTCTTCCTAGATTTCTCCTCCTATTTTTTCTCTCTGCCTGCCAGTCCTGCCTATCCATTGGCTGTTCAGCTCTTTATTAGACCAATCAGGTGTTTTAGACAGGCTCAGTAACACAACTTCACGGGTTTAAACAAATGCAATATAAAAGAATGCAATACATCTTTCCATCATTAAACAAACGTTCCACAGCATAAACAAATATAGCACATCTTTAACTAATATTCTACAACATGTCACTGATATCATTTTTTTTGGTTATTGTTGGGCTGTGTGAGATGGACAGTCAGAGAAATTCTGAATCTGTCTGCAGTTAGTGAGAAGACCAAAATTAATTCTGTATATGTGCAATAAAAATGTAATGGAGATTTATAAAAAAAAAAAGCTGTGTCATTTCCAAGCAAAGCAGCCACCCTAGTGGCACCTGTCCCAGCTGCCAGAGGATCCACTGCTTGTGTCTAGGGCCACGTGGGTGGGTGCTAAAGAGCCCATATGGTATGATGTTCATTTCCTGAATTGCAGGCAAACAGCAGGTGGATGGTCTTCCGACTGTCTTTTTAAAAAGCAAAAGAGCTAGAAAGTCCAGGATATGGCAGGTGGTGGGATCCCTGGGAAAGGTGAAAGGGCACAAAGAGAGAAACAAGCCTGTCTTCTATCATAATGATGACAACGGTAGTGTCATGATGGAGAAATACCCAGGCATATTAAATAGCTCATCTGTGTTTGCAGTTGGCTCTCAAACCTTAGGGACATGTAGCACTCATGTCAAGAACTTCGTAGTTTTTGTTTTGTTTTGTTCTGTCAGGCCAGGACTTTGCCACACTGTCATTAAAAGCAGAGTAAGAGATGCCAGAGACACAGTTTAGATGCTAAAATGCTTCCTTGCAAGTACAAGGAACTGAGTTTGGCCCCTAGAGGCCATGTAAAGCTAAGTGTGGGATGCACCCATGCAGGCTCACTGGCCAGTAAACCAAGTCTGTTTGGTGATTTCCAGATCATTAAGAGACCCTATATCAAAAACACAAGATGGACAACTCTAGCAGAATGACACCAGAGGTTAATCTCTAGGCTACACACATGTGCGCATATGTGTGCACACATAACACTCATATTTGCATGCATCCCCACATACGTGAACATTCACACGGGAAAGCAGAGTAAGAGGCTTAGCTATAGGGAGATCCTGGTCAACAAGAGATTGAGATGAAAACACATTGTATTAGTCAAGATTCTCTAGAGAAACAGAACTTATAGAATGAATCTCTCTGTATATATATAAAGGGGATTTATTAGAATGACCTACAGGCTGTGGTCCAGCTAATCCAACAATGGCTGCCTATGAATGGACAGTCCAAGAATCGGGTAGTTGTTTGGTCCATGAAGCTGGATGTCTCTGTTGGTCTTCAGTACACACTGGAATCCCAAAGAAGTAGGCTGTAATGTCAGTGAAGGAATTGACTTGCTAGCAAGGTGAGAATAAGCAGGTAAAGAGCAAAAACTTCTTTCTTCCATATCTTTGTACAGCAGTGGTTCTCAACTTGTGAGTCACCACCCCCTTAGAATTGAATGTCTCCTTTCACAGGGGTTGCCTAAAATGATCAGAAAACACTGATGTTTACATTACCATTCATCACAGCAGCAAAATTACAGTTATGGAGTAGCGGCGAAAATAATTTTATGGTTGGGGGTCACCACAACATGAAGAACTGTATTAAAGGATCACAGATTAGGAAGGTTGAAAACCACTGTTACATAGGCTTCCAGCAGAAGGTAAGGCCCAGATTAGAAGTGGTTCCTTCCACCTCAAAAGATCTGGATTAAAGGTGTATCTTACCACCTCAAAGATCCAGATTAGAAGTAGATCTTTCCACTACAAATTAAGCAAAAATCACTCACAGGTGTGCCCTATCTTGGGGTTTTAGTTAATTCCAGATGTAATCATATTGACAACCAAGAATAGCCATCACACACATCATGGTCAGCACTTGAAAAACAGGGAGAGTAACAGAAAAAGAAGGCAAGTGTCTTAGTTAGGGTTTCTATGGCTGTGAAGAGACACCATGACCACAGCAACTCTTATAAGGAAAACATTTAATTGAGGTGGCTTGCTTACATTTTCGGTTGTTCAGTCTATTACCATCATGGTGGGACATGGTGGCATGTAGGCAGACATGGTGCTGGCTACATCTTGATCAGAAGGCAACAGGAGGTGGACTGAGACACTGGGCTGTATCTTGAGTATAGGAACCCTCAAAGCCTGCCCATACAATGACACGCTTCCTCCAACAAGGCCATACCTACTCCAGCAAAGCCACACCTCCAAATAGTGCCACTCCTATGAACTTATGGGGGTCAATTACATTCAAACTACCACAGCCAGCTATTGTACATGTGAGCTATCTTTGGCCTGGAGGCAAAAGATTGTGTCCATTGTGTCCACTGGTTGTATTAATATCCCAAAGGAAGGGAGTTTTGATTGGTTCCCAATTTGGAATCATGAAAGGAAATCCCCATGCATCTCCCATCTCAGGTAGAGAGAGAGTATGACTGGAGAAGATGTAAGGCTAGGCCCTGTCCCTATGGCCTGTTCAGACTGTGTCAAAACACCATCAAGTTTCTGTGTGCCCCAGTGAGGCATGAGGGAGAGGTGGACATGCTTCTAAGCCTCCAGTGCAAGCGCCTTGATTTTAAAGCCCTCTACGAAAGTCTGGCCAAGCTTCCTGGAAGAGGAAAGAACAAATGGAAACCTTTAGCTTAGGCTTCTAATAGTTTACTTGGTAGATGTAGTTGTTTTTTCGACTCTCTGGGGGGCCTGCCACCTAGCTCGTAAATGCCCGGCATTAGCTTGGTTTGTTTCTTGCCAGCTTTTCTAACTTAAATTATCCTGTTTCTCTTCTACATTTTGCCTCTGGACTTTTTTATTCTATATGTCTTTCTTTCCTTCTTACTCCATGGCTTACAGTGTGGCTGGGTGGCTGACCCCTCACATCCTCTTCTTCTCCTTTTCTCAATTCTCCCTCTTTTCTCTTGAGTCTAGACTTCTCCTATTTATTTTCTCTGCCTGCCAGCCCTGCCTATCCTTTCTCCTGCATAGCTATTGGCCGTTCAGCTCTTTATTAGACCAATCAGGTGTTTTAGGCAGTCAAAGTAACACAACTTTACAGAGTTAAACAAATGCAACCCATCTTTGCATCATTAAACAAATATTCCACAGCATAAACAAAGGTAACACATCTTCAACTAATATTCTACAACGGGTAGACACTGCAATATAGATCTCTTTGTAATTAGAAAAGAGACTTTCAGAGGACCTAGGTACCTGCAGTGACAGCAATCCAAATTTCCTATGAATGAACCTGTCACTTGGTCATGGATTCCCTTGATCTGTCAATCACAAATCTACCATTCTCCAGCAACTCCTATCTGTAATCCTTCAGTCAGGTTGTATCTTGCTGAGTTTTAAAGGTTCTGTTCTCCCCAAGTTAAAAGATGAATATCAAGTGGGATAATCCCAGCACTGAGGAGGCAGAGGCAGGAGGATGTCTGTGAGTTCGAGGCCAGCTTCATCTACATTGGGAATCCCAGGACAGCTCGTGGGGTAGCCACGGAAACTCCTTGGACATGGGTTTAAACCAATAGAAAGTCTTTATGAGCTGGCTGTTGACTACACTGGGTGTTTCTGATCCCAGTGTAGCACTGAGTCTTTCTCAGGGTGAGCTTTTAAGCACAAAAACCATGTTCAAGTTGACATACTTCAGTTAACAAGAACAGCCAGCCAGAAGCAGAACTACAGAAGCCAAAACGCAAGGTTAGTACTTAGACTTTCCCAGAACTACAGACTTTGACAGGTTAGGTCTTTATTTTCATTTTGGCAGGTGGTGCTGTCTATATGCTGAGTTTTAGAGTCGGAATGCTACTTCCATCATGGAGTCAGTTGTGCTAAGGTCTAGGGACCTACTAAGGTCTGGGGCTTTGTTACACTAGGACTCAAATATAGATATGATATCTCTCACTGACTCAACAGACACCACTTTGTGTAGCATAAACATTTTTACTCTTTCTAAATGCCTCCAGGGTAGGCCTGCTTACCTCTTCCCTTATGTCCAATTCCTAAGCAAGCCTTCCTGGACTTGATCTTCAAATTCTATCTATAGTCCATCTCATTGTCTCTATGTTGAAGCTATCAGTGTTTCTTGGTTAACTCAAGGTAGAAGTTCCTGTATCCAGAGACACACAACCCAGAAGAGATGGATTAATAGTCATATAAGTGGAGAGAGAGGGAGCGGGGGGTGGGGGGGAGGTACTCTGGAGATGTGTAGGGTATTACACGCTGTTTGTTTCTATGAGTTGGAATTTACTGAACGCAAGCAGTGTGTCCTAAGAGAAAAAGAACTGGGTCCTGATGGGCATGGAGTTACTCTTGGAAGGTCAAGGGCTACAGAAATCATTTAGACTCTCTCTCTAACATGTGTATGTGTATACATGTTCACATGTGTGTGCATGCATGTGCGCATATGTGGAGGCCAGTGGTCGACATCAATGTTTTCCTTCACTATCCATATTATTTGATTTATTTATCTGTTAGTCAGGATCTCTCACTGAACCTGGAGCTCATCCGTTGGCTAGACTGACCAACCAAGCAAGCCCAAGGGATCCACTTATGCACTTGTTTCTGCTTTCTCACGGCGGGCATTACAGACCCATGCTGCCTAGGTATTTTTTTTTTAACAGGTGAGTCCTAGGGATCAAATTCAGACCCAGCGAGCACTGTACTGACTGAGTCACCCCTACAGCCCTTCTATCTGTCACTCTGTTTCTTCTTAGTAACAAAAGAAATCGCCCTGACAAAAATGAATGATAAAGGGTCTTCAAAATTCTCTCATCTTTCTGCACACAGTGACTGTGAATGAGTCACATCTGGAAGTCTCCCAAAGCTTGCTTCTCTGTCACCACCAACCTTCACGAGGGGTTTTGAATCGGGTGCGACCTACAAGAAGTCACTAGAAATGGCGCCAGCTCTCGAGGCAGGCGCAGGCTGGTGATGACAAGCTGCAGATGTTCAAACGTGACTTTTAGCCCCCTGCCTCAGCAGGCCTGTCTCACCATAAGGCTCTTTGATTTCCTGATGGGTCTTTCATGAGGACACATCATAGTTAGTAAACCTTCAGTGCCCCTGACTGAAGACGGCAGATGAGGGGGTTAGTATGTCAGCTGTCTTTCATGTGACTGGATCTTAAAGACACAGAGAGGTGGCCAAAGGTGGTCCAAAGCCCAGCCTCCTGCAGCTACTGAGGAATGTCTCAAGAGACTGTCACACACAACTGAAGATGCCTGCAGAGAGGAAAAGCAGTTGGTCAGAGCTTCATTCAATCATCCGATCATTCATTTTCTTCCCTTAGTCACATTTGGGAAGCTTCTACTATCTCGCCCAAACTCAACAACTTTCTGAGACACAAAGACAAATGTGGCCTATAGTTTTTGACCTGAGAAAGTTCTTCAGCACCCTCTCGGGAACAGCCCTAATTTTTATGGTCAGTGCTAGGGATTTGAACTCAGATCCTTACCTTGTACAGCAAGTGCTCTTAACTGCTGAGCCATCTCTTCAGCCCCAGCATTTGCCTTAAGTCTGGCACTTCATGTAAAACAACTGGGATATTTGCTATCTAAAAGTTGAACTTTCACATCCAAATCAAATAATGAATGGAGGCTGGAGGATTGGAAGTTCAAGAGCATCCTTGGCTACTTGGTGAATATGAAGATAGCCCGGATTACATGAACATGAGACTTTGTGCCCACCCGTCCCCAAATGAATATTGAAAACAGATCTACTGTGCACTTAAATTTTTCTGTGAGTTTAAGGACTCTTTCAAAAAGATCAGTGGTTCCCTATATTAACAAAAGTGGTATGTTCAGAACTATCCCATGATAGCACCAACATTTGGAAAAGCTGTGTTAACCAGGAAAGTGCCGTGTTCTAAGTTATCAATGCTCAGTGTTATACAACCATATGTTGGAAAAATGTTGCATCCAGGATGGAGTACTGCTCAGTTATATTTAAATGATCTGTGTGTGTGTGTGTGTGTGTGTGTGTGTGTGTGTGTGTGTGTGTGTATGTGTGTGCACGCACGTGCATGTGTATGCATGTGTGCATGCTCACACTATAGCATGCCTGTGAAGGTCAGAGGACCACTCTTGGGAGTTGACTTGCTTTCCACTCTCTTGAGGTAGGGGCTCTCTATTCACTCCTGATGCTCTTTGTACTCCAGCCTAGCTGACCCATGAGCTTAATTCTCCCGTCTCTCATCTCTCTGTAGAAGTCGAGGATTATAGCTGTAAACTATTGTATGCAGCTCTTTTACATGGATGTATTCTGGGAATCCAACTCAAGTAGGCTTGTGGAGCAAGTACTTTTAACTCACTGAGCCATCACACTGGCCCAGGTCAACAATTTTTTTTAAACTTATTTTTATTATTTTTCATCTTGTGTAACTGTGTGTATTTGCTTGTTGAGTATATGCATGTGAGTGCAGTGCTGGGGGGAGACCAGAGGCCTCTGATCCACAGGAGCTGGAATTACAAGAAGGTTGTGTGCTCCTTGGTGTGGGTGCTGGGAACTGAACTCTGGTCCTCTGGAAGAGCAGCAAGTGCTCTTAGGTGCTGAGCCATCTCTCAAGCCCCTTGGGGCAACAATTTTTAACAGCAGTGTGAGCAGTTGGTTTTGGGGTTAGTACAACGAGAGCTGGCCTGTGTTGTTATAATATCAAAGAATAAGTCCTTCAAATACCCTTTCCTCCCCAACTTCACGTTCATGAAAGACCAAATCTGTTTCCTCTCCTTCAACAAGAGCAAAATCTCACCAGAGAGCTGGGCGGTAGTGGCGCACACCTTTAATCCCAGCACTCAGGAGACAGAGCCAGGCGGATCTCTGTGAGTTGGAGGCCAGCCTGGTCTACAGAGTGAGATCTAGGACAGGCACCAAATCTACACAGAGAAACCCTGTCTTGAAAAACAAACAAACAAACAAAAAAAAATCTCACTAGAGACTGGATGCCAGAGAACATGCATGACTTCAATATCCTTAGTGGAAAATGTACCACTCTTCTCATTAAATTTCATTTCCTTTCAAAAACTTATTTTCCATAAACAGATATGTTGGATGGGTTTATGGATTTTAATGGATAGACTTTAAATTTACAATTTTCCTGCTTCCGTTTCTGGAAGAATACATATCAATAATCAGATCAGGCAGGGAAAAAGAAACTGCTGAGTGATTTTTGAGAATACCATAAGGTTCTAAGACAAAGTTTCAACACCTCTTTTCTGAGTTGCTTCTCTTCTAGCTGTGACCAAGTACCTGACAGGAAGCAGGGTTCCTCTGTTCAAAGCAGGAGCCCAGGCCCAGCATAAGCTTGGGAGCAGGGACATTCCCTTTCTCAGCCTTTGTGTTCAGTGGGGGAAGCCCAGCCACAGAGGCAATTTGTTTGGCTCAGTCCACGGATTCAAATGTTAAAGCTGCTTATAACACTCTAACAGAAGCATTCCTATAATACATCTGAGCAGATGCCTGAACACCCCATGACCCAGCCAGGGTGGCACGTTCAAGACAGGAAGAGTTCAGGGTCCTCTTCAGCTACATAGTAAGTCTGAGGCCACTTTGAGCTGCATGAGACTCTGTCTCAAAAAAAGAAAAGAAAAGAGAGAAGGGGTGAGGAGGGGGAAGGAGGCCTTTATCACAGGCTCCCATGTATAGAAAACCCAGTAGGGTTCAGCACTGTCCAGCTTCCAAGCATCACTAGGATTCTTAAAAGACGTCCTCTGCAGACAAGAGATTATAGTAACTGTGACTCAAGCTGCACTTCATTCCAGGATTAGATTCTGAGAGCAAAGGACGGGCGGACTTCAGATGGCAGCCGTGAGTGTTGGGAGCAACAGCTTGCTGAAGCAGTCATGCCAGGGCAGGAGGCTCCCCCAGCGCTGGCTCCCATCGCGTTTGGAGAGCAGAGAGCCTGGGGCTAAAGATGGACCCCGAGACTGGCACTCAGACAAATGAATGTGTGGCCTGGAGGCAAGCCAAGACACCTTCCATGGCTGGAATATCTGCTGCTGTTGTTATCCTCAGGGATCAGCCTTAGCTCTGCATTCGTTGCCATGGAGACCATCTAAGTCTTCTGTTTTTCCCTTAGTGATGATCAAGAAAACCTACACACATACCTATTCAGAAAATATTCTAATATGTGGGCTCACACCAAAATAAATGACTATGTCCTTTGTAGAAAACAAAAGCAACAGTGTCTGGGGAAAGAAGAGGGAAGCCAGCCTGCTCCAACAACGGGAAAGAGGTTAGTAGTTACCTTCGAGACAGCATTCGGCTTTTCTGGTTTCAAATGAAACCTGTTTATATTACAAAATATGGAAATTCATACAACACAAAAGAGAATCCCTAAAATTACCTATACCCATGTCTCTTTTTATGGTAAAAACAAACAAACAAAAACAAATAAGATATGTCTGTTCTTTTTCCTATACCTGGACAACCACCTTTATCAATTTGGTTCAAATCAGTCCTGCCAATTTGTCTTATTTTTATATATCTGTCTGTCTGTCTACCCATTCATCCATCCATCTATCCATATGTCTATCTTTTTTTTTTAAGTTTTGAGACAGAAAGTCGGGCAGTGGTGGTAAACTCACCTTTAATCCTAGCACTTGGGAGGCAGAGGCAGGTGGATCTCTTTGAGTTCAAGGCCAGCCTGATCTACAGAGGGAGTTCCAGGATAGCCAAGGCTACATACAGAAACACTGTCTTTTTTTTGGTTGGTTTTTTTTGGGGGGGGGTTGTTTGTTTGTTTTTTTTTCGAGACAGGGTTTCTCTGTGTAGCTTTGCGCCTTTCCTGGAACTTGCTTTGGAGACCAGGCTGGCCTGGAACTCACAGAGATCCACCTGGCTCTGCCTCCCAAGTGCTGGGATTAAAGGTGTGCACCACCACCGCCCACCTAGAAACACTGTCTTGAAACAAACAAACACCAAATAAAACAAAAAGTTTTGAGACAGGGTCTTGCTATATTGCCCAAACTGGCCTTGAACTCTTAAACTCTAAGAGATACTTCTGTAGGCTCCTGTGACTACAAGTACATTCTATTGAGCTTGGCTCATGTGTTCATTTACTGATTTATTCAATACTTATTAATCATTTCCTTGGTCCAATCAACGTCCTAGACATGTGCAGGCCATTGATAAATGATTATCTGTTACTTTCCTGCTACTGTGAGGAAAATACCATGACCAGGAACAACTTGCAGAAGGAAGAGGTTATTTTGGCTTACAGCTCCAGAGAGGTACGCGTCCACCACGAGAGCGGAGCAGCAAGCAGCAGACACAGCGGCAAGAACAGGGAGCAACATCATGTCCTGAACAAGCATGAAGCAGAGACAGCGAACTGGAAGTGGGGAGGGACTAGAAACACTCAAAGCCCACCCCAATGACCTACTTCCTGCAGCAAGGCTCCACCCCCACCCCCCCAAAGGTTCCACATCCTCCCTAAACAGTGCCAACAACTGAGGACCAAGCGTGTGAATACCCAAGCTGATGAAGGACATTGTATTGTCATTCAAACCACCACAGCCAATAGGAAGATCTCCTTCCCCACGGATGCTACATTCTACTGAGAGGAGACAGAAAATTAACCAGACATCAATCAACAAACAGAAAGCTACCGACTAGTGGCAAATGCTCTGTAGAAAATGAGGGTGTATCATCCTTAGAGGACCCATTGAAGAGAAAAGCAGCGCAGTGAAGACTGGGAGAAGACATTCCTGGGACCAGGAAGAGTAGAGAAAGAAGGGGCCTTCATGCTTACACAGAAAGGAGATGGGTGTGTCTAACCTGAGACTCAGGGGCCATCTGTATCTCAGGATAGGCATAATGTGGCCCAGTGCATTTGTGGATGACAACATCTTGTCACAAAAGGGCTGAGTCTAGAGCCTGGTGGGGATGAAGAGAGAGCAAGAAAGAGCAGCAGTTGAAGAGGTGAGCCCCAGACAAGTCACAGAAGGTTTGGGAAAAGAAAGTACCAGAAAAAAAAATAAATAAATTTTAAGACACTAGAAGAGTTTTAGCAGGGCGGAAGGATATGCTGTTTGTTCTTTTTGGAGTTTTCACTCTGGGAAGAGATTTAGGGCAAAGGCCAGCAGAACTCAGCAAGTTCCTTACTTAAGTGGGAAAGGAGAGCATGGCCCAGGCTCTTGGGGGGGGCGGTCACTTGGGGAAATGATTCAGTGGGTAAAGGTACCTGCTGCTGGCCCTGATGCTGGATCCCTGGGACACACACGGTGGAAGGAGAGAACTGACTCCTGCAAGTTGTTCTCTGAGCTCCAGTGTAGTCTGTGGTATGTGCGCACACACATGTGCACACACACACACGCGTGCACACACACATATACATACATAAATGTTTAAAGAAGGGCCTGTCTCAAAACCTTAGAATTACTATATGAACCTCATGATGACTCTCCACAAAATTGAAAATGATTGTGGTTTCAAGAGAATACTCCTAGCACACTCCCCAAGAAACGACAGCAAGGCTCTCTTTCTTTTTTCTGGTCTTTTCCCCTTAAGATCACGTTTAAATGTAAATCCCATTGAAGACCTGCACATTTAAATAGCTTTATTCAAAATGAATGAAAACCAAAAGCTAGTCTCATGGAAGGTCAAGTCGAGAATGGCATTGGGGTCAGGATGGAAGAGTCTCCCCAGGAGGAACCTGGTATTACCATATCCTAATCCCACGTTACCTCAGATTTTGGCTGTAGGTGCCAACTGCCGGAGGAAATAAAAAAATGGAGACGCCAAAATGCAGATTCCCTGAGCGCCACACTGACTTGCTGTTTCTTTACTATGCTTTTTTCACTTATTTGTTATTGTTGTTGTTGAGTGTGTGTGTATGTGAGTGCCTATGAGTGTCAGTGTGCATGAGTATGTGATTGTGCCTGTGTGTGCATGAGTGTGTAAATGTGCCTGTGTGTGCACGTGTGTGAATGTGCCTGTGTGTGCATGAGTGTGTGTAAATGTGCCTGTGTGTGCACATGTATGAATGTGCCTTATGTGCATGTGAGTGTGTAAATGTGCCTCTATGTGTGCCAGTGCACGTGTGTGCACAACACGGCACCGTGCCTGTGTGGAGGTTAGAGGACCAGTTTTCCAGAGCTGGTCTCTTCCACCTCGAGGGTCTCTCTCATTTCTACAGCTGTATTGCATAGCCCAGGCTAGTGTGCCTGTGAGCTTCCCGGAGATTCTCCTGCCTCTTCCTGCCATGCCCCAGCCGGAGTGCTGGGTTTGCCGATGGGAATCACAGGATCTGGGTTTTTATGTGGGCTCTGGGAGATGGGACCCAAGTGCTTTTACCCACAGATCCATCACCCTGGCCCCCCGACTCACTGTTTCTTAAGGTAGCCACTAAGGGTACCGCTGTCCATTACAGTGATTAGTCAGTTTAGAAAATACTGCAAGTATCTGTGAAGACAAGCAAGACACCACGGAGCATGTTCAGTCAAGTCCCAGAGGAGGAAGCACAATCCAGAGCTCACATGTGGTCTCTGGTTTAAAGGACAATGGGCATCTCCACTGGCGATGTATTAGAAGGGTGACCGGCATAGTAATATAGTAATATACCAAACAATTTATATTCAGCTGCCGAGATTACTGGCACCGGCAAAGGAAGTGACTTCATTTGTCTTCCAGTCGACCCTTCAAGATGTAAAATTATTTCTTCTCACACTGCCAGAACCAATGCACTCCACTTAGTGTGACCCAGAAGCACATAATTTATTAGCTGGCATAGTGTGGCCCTCACAGAAATGATTACTACGTATGCATTCAGAGTCCTGATATTGCGATGGCTCAGATCATCCATTGTTTGGTTGTTTGCTTGTTTTACATTCAGAGATGTGAAGTGTGTGTGTGTGTGTGTGTGTGTGTGTGTGTGTGTACTGTGTATGTGTGACTGTGGGCTATTTAATATAAGAAAGGGCCTTTTTATTTTCGATAGGACCACAGCATATGAGAGAATGGCGGTGGTGACAGCATCCAGACTCGTGGCTTCAAGTGCTGTTGTACTAGTTCCGAATCCCTGGCGTAAGCTGCTCAAGAAGACCCAGGATTCAGAGTGTGCCGGGCACGGTCGCTTGCCTCTGTGTTCCTGTAGTGGGGTACAACAACGTCACGGGGGTCTTCTGAAGACAGGAAGTGTAACGGGCGAGCAGGACGACAGTGACTGAGACCCAGGACGGGTGTAACCTTCAAAAACACAGACCCCAGGGATGAACTCCCTCTAACAAGCTCCGTTTCTACCATCGCCCCAAATCATGGCACCATCTTGAGACCAGGCCTGAGGCTGGGAAACCATTAGCCACTCTCTAGACACTGTCGGCTCCACCCCTGACCCTGTCTCAGCCTCAGGCTCTCACATCCAGCTGCTGCCTTGCCATCTCCACTCACTTTAACAAGCGTGGGAAGCTCGGCTGAACTTTCGAACTTCCGGCGTCCCTCCCTCTTTCCCATCTCCGTGGATGGCAACTCCTTTCCTGCAGATGCTCAGTCATCCTTGACTCTCGATTTTCTCCCACTCCACATACGAACCCATCAACCAATTCTCTCCACTTCCTAAAATAGACCCACAACGCACCCACTTCTCCACAGCTCCGATGTCACCAGCCCACGCCGCCACCGCTTCTCCCCTGAATTTGAAGGAACCTTCTAATAGGCCTTTTTAAAATCCCTTTCTCTCACTTTGTACATTACATTTTACTTATTTAAAATTTTTTAATTGGCCAGGCGGCAGCGGCGGCGGTGGCGGCACACGCCTTTAATCCCAGCACTCGGAAGGCAGAGCCAGGCGGATCTCTGTGAGTTCGAGGCCAGCCTGGTCTGCAGAGTGAAATCCAGGACAGGCACCAAAACTATACAGAGAAACCCTGTCTCGAAAAACCAAAATAATAATAATAATAATAATAATAATAATAATAATAATAATAAATTTAATTAGCATATACACAGTATTAAGTTTCATTATGACATTTTCAAACACAACTAGTCACTGTTGATTCTTCCTGAAACCTTTCCCTGTGTTCTCTGAAGTGTTCTTCTGATGTATTTGAAACCTTCCATATTAACAACCAAACACACAGTAAATAGTGATAAAAACCCTACATCCATTCTTCCCCCAACCTCAGTAGTGATTGTTACATGACTGTTTTTGCTTGACTAACATCTCCCTCTTCCAACCCCAACGACTGCCCGTCTCTTGCCCAAGTTTAACCCCAAATCCTTTCCAGGTGCACAAACTCCCTCCCTTTCACCTTGCCCTGCCTCCCACAGCTGCAGCCTGCGGGCTGTTTTCTCAACTGCCTGAAGGATGCTCTTGCCTTGGTCCTGGCTATTCCTCCTCACGCATGCTCCCTCTCTCTCTTCCTTCAGGTCTTCACCCACCGGTTCCTAAAGCCTGACCCCGCTCACTGTCTACATGTAGCCAACAGAAGCGTTCCTCTCTACCCACGGGATTTCCGAAAACTTGGCTGCTGAGAGTAACAGTTTATATGTCTGTCTCCACCTCACCCCTGGCTTGCCCACCTTTCTACACTGAAATGAATTCACACGATGACTTATCTGGGTGAAGCTACCCTATGGGATAAGGCTCACTTAGCTGTCTCCCTGAGCTGAACAATGAGGTCTCGTGTATATAAGTAAACTGGGTACTAGCATGCACGTGTTCAAAGAGTGAACCTTCTTCGATCCTGCTCTAAGCCAGAGATCTCATTTGCAGGCTAGGGCAGGGATTTTGAATTTTATTTATTGTAGTGATTTAAGTAGGTACTGTCGCCCACAGGCTTGGTTGTTTGAAGAGCTGGTGTCCAGTGGGTGGCACTGTTTTGGGAGGTGTTTTAGCCTTGCTGGACAAAGTGTGTCACTGGGGGCCAGCTTTGAGACTTTATAGCCTTGCTCAGCTTCCATGTTGCTCTCATTGCTTCATGTTTGAAATTGAAGATGTGCTCTCTCAGCTGCCTGTTCTGCCCACCATGCCTGCCGCTTGGTGCTTTCATTCCCCCACCACTACGGACTCTCTGTAACCGTAAGCCAGAATAAACCTTTCTTCCATAGCTTGCCTTTGGTCTGGGTGCTTTATCACAGCAACAGAAAAGCAACTAACAGAGTGTAGCTGTGTCATGTCTAAGATTGCAACAAACATTCTCCGCCATCATCCATACTTAAGGACGTTGAAGGGTATGCTTTGAATCAAATGCTATGCCTTTTGTCATGCAAAAAAGTATAATGATGAGGACAAGTAAAACTTGTGCTTTTCAGGGAGAGTATAACACAGAATCACACACTTCCCCTCCACCACGCCCAAAGGCTTCCACTGCTCCCAGGACCCAATGAAACCTCAGAGGTTTAGATGCAAACTTTGCCTGCCAGACACCAGCCACATCTGGCTGCACCCTGGGTCCCCTGCACCTGTCAGAGGTTGGGTATAAACCCCGAGTTGATTCACTTGTACACACATTCATCTACAGACTCATCTTGGTCTCTACCCACTACTCAGGAAAAGGCGAGGGCCCTGGACTATGAGGTGCCAGATAGATCTGCAGAAGGAAACATGTCTTTTCCCAGCATCCTCTGGGATCTCAGCACTTTCTGGGAATTGATGTCCTGCCACAGAAGATTCATGCTGTGCCTGGGATTACAGATTAGGGAATGTGTGCACGTGTAACTCTTTAAATTAGTATGACTACGGAATATTTAACTAGTTGACATGGTAGTTGGTTAATACCATTTCCTATGGGTTAGTCACTAGACTGAAATGCGTTGATACCGACTAAATGTTTTTAGCCACCAGGGAGACGGCTAACCCCACACATTTATTTATTTGTTTATTCATTCCTGTGTGGGTGTGCATATGGAGGCCAGAGACAGCTTGTTGCTCCTTTCCTTCCACCATTTGAGTTCTGTGAACTGGAGACTCAGGTTGGCAAGTCGGCAGGTGGCAACTTTTCCTGCTGAACCATCTCACTGGCCCCAGCCCTTGTCTTTTTAGACAAGGTCTCACTGAATAGCTACACAACGGCCCTGAACTGGCTATGTCACCCAGGCTAATCTCAACCTTGTGATCCTCCAGCCTCTAGCTCCTGAGTACTGGGGCTGTAAGTGTCTCACTAAACTTTATAGTGTTAACTATATAGTTATGACTCAGTTCAACGGTGGAGGAAGCTGAGACCCATTTTCATCAAATAAAATTCCCCCAGCCACACAATAGGTTGTCAATGGAGAGACCATTTGAACGTCAGCCGATTCCAGGTGTGGCCCCTGCTCGGTGGCTACCCACACTATCCTGGCAATGACTTAATAGAGGATTCTGGCAGTCTGCACTCCATCTGATTTAACAGTTTTGGTAAAGATTAAATGGCATGGTGATCAACTTCACGTATGACCTAAAGTGTAAGAAGGACATGTATTCACAGAGGTAGGATGTCGCAAGGTGAATTTGCTGAGAAAACAGACCATAACAAATGCACACCTGAGCATAGGCTCCTCCACCTCAGTGCTGTTGACACTTGAGGCTAAACAATTTTTCCTTTGTGAGGAGCTGTCTAGAGCATGGTAGTTTGGCAGCACCCCGGCTTCTGGTCACTGGATTCTACTAACAACCCCCAATTATGACAACCAGAAATAGTCCAAACATGGCCAAATGTCACCCGAGAGATAAAACTGCTTCCGGTTGAGAACAACGGACTTCATTTTTATCTCACAAGGCAAGAGGAAGGTGGAGCTGAAACTGAAATCAAAGTCACCTGACTCCAGATGGCAAGCTCTTATCATGATGGGTTAACTTGCAATGAAGGTACATTCCTGGAGTTAGAGCCCAAACCAAATCAAACAGAGTATAAGCCAAAGACAGAGTTGTATGAGTGAGTAAATTCAAAAAACAAACAAACAAACACAACAACAGGTGGTTAGGCCAGGAGAGGGCCAGAAAGCATGAGTGTGTCATCCCAGCACCAGGAAATAGTCAATGAAAAGAAGCAATGCGTCGAGATGGAGGCACTGATGAGAAGAACCTTGTCTAGAGAAAATCCAAAGATGGAGCAGAGAACTGGAAAGAGGCCACACACACTCAGTCAAAGAGGGGAAGAAATGGAGCCTCTGGAAGTAAGCCAGTATATGTCTTTTAATATGTTTACCTGGGAGAAATAAGAACTGGAGGCATTTTAAAATTGTGATGAACAGTTGGCTGAGGTGGGGTTCTTAAGAGATGAGCCAGTTTTGTTGGAATTTCTTTTGAAATTAATGTCTTAATTTTTAACTTCATTAATTAACAAAGAGAAAAATAAAAAGGAAGGAAATGGAGAGAGAGGGAGGGAGAGAGAGAGAGAGAGAGAGAGAGAAAAGAAAAGAAGAAACTGCTCACTATGAACAACCTGAAAAGTTCAACTGACCAAAGGCAATTAAATCTCTGAATGACATAAACTTCCCTAACAAATCCTCCTTGAGTTTGGACTATATACACTTACTATCAATCCATATTTGCTTCTGCCTCACCCTTGGTGACAGCCATGCACAAAGCGTCTCTGCATACATCAAGGAGGTTGTTAATGAACTTGTGCACTCTGAGAAGTTCTGTCCTCAGCCTGGGAGAAATCCATCTCCCTTCTACCAGAGTTGTGCACCTTGGTGACTGACCCTGAGAAAAGACTCCCCTAGACAGTTGTTTTCAAGCAGAGGAACCCTTCAACAGCATCCACAGGCTCTCTCCTTTCAAATGAGGATGCAAGGATGCATTTTTACAATTTTAACCTTTCTCTGGTGGGGTCTTGTTCTCAGGACACCTTTTCAATTTTTCCAGTAAGGGCACAAAATTTATTCTTAATGGTACTTTTTTTTTTTTTTTTTTTTTTTTTTTTTTTTGGTTTTGGTTTTTCGAGACAGGGTTTCTCTGTGAAACAGCCCTGGCTGTCCGGGAACTCACTCTGTAGACCAGGCTGGCCTCAAAACTCACAGAGATCCCCTGTCTCTGCTTCCCAAGTGCTGGGATTAAAGGTGGTGCGTGGTAGCACTAATCTTCTTAACAATTGCAGATGCTGCCTCTGTGCCCTCTTTTTGTCTACAACACTAGAGTTTCTCACATTCGTCTCCTCACCAAACCACACATTCCCCCCCCCCCCCACTCTCTCTGCTCTTTCACTGGAGATCTGACCAACTGCAGCGAGCAGTAACCATGCCACACCCTGAATGCTGTGCTATCTTGAACTGTCCTCTGCCAAAGGAATCATTTCATTACTTCTGAATACAACCTCACCTGAATTCTTGGAACATTAAGTAGAATGCAGCAAAATCCTTTGCCAGAATGCTATACACATGGCCTCTGGTACAGTTCAATATAGGCCTGTTGCCCTCTGAAACTTCACGAACACAGTCCCCACTGCCAGCAGTTCTCTTGGTATTCTGGTCTTCCTCACTCCCAAACAGAAGAGCCCACTAAGCTCTGCTTATAGAACTCTACGGTTTCTCTAGTCTGAAGCTCCAGACTTCCCATGGAACACTGCGAAGGCCTAAGAAAGGCATGTTTATGCTTATCAAAGCAGAGGCCCCACTCCTGGTACCAATTCTTAAAAGTATATTTTTATTACTTTTGATGATTTCCATACACATATACAATATAAAATATGTTAACCCCCATTCCTTCCCAGATTCATCCCCACCCTTCCCAAGTTGATACCCTCATTTTTTTTTAAATAGTCTACTTATTCTAATGTGTGCTACCCATATACTCATGGGTATGAGGCCATCCACTGGACCATGGCCAACTTAACCTGGTAGTCATTTTATGTATTAGATACTTTTTGTTGTTGTTGTTGCTATGACCAATGGACCTGACAAGAAGCAAATGAAATGATAAGATACATTACACATATACATGAAATTCTCAAGAATAAAAAAAAAAAACGATTTGAAACCAAACAACAAAAGAAACAACTTGCGTGAGGGTTTATTTTAGCTTTTAGTTTGAAGAGACAAAGACTATTATGTCAAGGGCAGCATGACAGAGTGTGATGTGGCTGGTGACATTGTGTCCACAGCCTAGAGGCAGAGAGAGAGAGGGTAATGACAGGGCTTGGATTGTTTCTCCTTTTGATTTAGATTAGAATTCCATTCCCTGGAATGGAGCCACGCACACTCAGGGGACATCGTCTCACCTCAGCTAAACATCCTCACAGGCAGACCCCAAGGCTTGTCTCACAGGAGATTCTAGATCCAGTCAAGTAGCTAATGAAGATTAATCTTCACAGAAGGAAGACCAAGAATGACAAACCTGGGTGAGGTGGTCTATGAGGCTTTATGCACTGGGCTTAGTTCATTACACGCAAACATGCATTTGAGAAACAACCTCAGAAGTATTCCTTCTTGCCTGTGGAGCCTTGAACAAATCCATTGGCTTTATACCTTATCTTTCTCTCTCAATTTCTGAAAAATACAAGTCTACTTTCTATGTGTATGGATCTCCAAAACTTGGCAGTTCACATACATGAAATCCTTTTTTCTAAAAGCTGTATTTGAATTTATGTGTACGTGTGCTGCTTACATATATGTGTGTGCAATGAATGTGTGCAGTACTAGAAGAAACCAGAAGATGTCAGGTGTCAGATGCCCTGGGACTAGAGATACAGATGGTTGTGAATCTCCCAGAGAGGATGATAGGAACTGAACCCAGGTCCTCTGCAAGAGCAGTAAGTGGTCTTAACTTATTGCTGGGCCATCTCTTTAGCTGCTAAAGTGAAACCAGGTGAGGGATGTCATTCATTCTTAGTTTCTTTTACTTAGCATAGCATTTTCAAGGCTTGTGTGCTCTGTGGTATGAATCATTCTTTCTTCTAGTGGTTAAATAATATCCATTTATGGATCTCCCTCATTTTGTTTAGCCATTCATCAGCTTACTAGCATTGGGGTTATTTTTAACTTTCGGGCAGTTCTGAATAACAAGGTTATGATCATTTGTGTGTAAGTTTTTGAACGGACAGCTTCATTTCTCTTGGATGTGTACTAGGAACAGGATGGATGAGTAATAAAATTCTCTTGTTGAACATTCAAAATCTTGAGAAATTGCCAACTTGTTTTCCAAAATGGCTGCCAGCTTCATAACCCAGCCAGCAATGAAGATTATAAAAGATTTTTTTCACTTCCTCCACAATAGCTTATAATGTCTGTGTTTGTTTTCAGTTATCTGAAGGACTAGCTCATGGTTTTCATTTGTATTTCCCTAAAAGCAACAGGTATACAGTATTTTCATTTGCCATTGGAAATGTGAAGCCAGGTGTGGACACACCTTTTGTCCCAGCACCTCAGGAGGCAGAGGCAGGTGGATCTCTGTGAATTCAAGGTCAGCATGGTCTACACAGTGAGTTCCAGGACAACCAGGGTTACACAGAGAAACCCTAGCTCAAAAATTGAAAAAGAAAAAATATTTTGTATGTTTTCCTTGGAAAATGTATATTCAAAATCATTTTGTCAAGTTTTTCTCATTTGTAATTAGATTGGATCATTTCCTTTTTATTGATGAGTAATGGGCTCTTTGTATATTTAGGATACAACCATTATCAGACGTGTGACTTGCAAATATTTTCTTTCATTATTTAGGGTTCTCATACAGAGGTTTTCCTGGTGGTAGTCTTTGTATCACAACTTACATTTTTTTTTTATGAATTCTAGTTTTTCTGTTCGTTTCTCTGCCCACTTGTACTACTTTTTAAATTATATTTTGTCTAAAACAATCTATGATTAAATTCACAAAGGCTTTTTCCTAGGAATATATAGTTTTATGCCTTTTACTGTCATCTATCATCTATTGGAGCTAATTTTCCCATGTCACTCAATAGATGGGTCCAACGCCATGACTCTGCACTTTACCACTGAGCTACACTCCCAGTCTAACCCAGAGGTTAGTCTGCGTTACGTCCACAACCTACATTGCTCAAACACACATGTAGCCCATCATAAGGAACACGGCTGTAACCCCACATCTGGAGACGGGGTGCATCTGCCCAGCTGGTGGCAGACTCCACAGACCCTTATCCTCTGCACTTGGCATTTGACCATCTTTTTGTCTTAACTGGCACATTCAGTTACTGCTGGACACTTCCTAATAGGTCTGTATAACTCACTATAAATATATATGTGGTTTCTATTCATTCCCGTTTCTCTGCTCCTCATCCCCCCTTTTTGATCTGGATAACTTTTCATTACTTGAGCAAGTATTGGCTATTCTGTTTTATTCTGCTTGACTGGTCTGGAAGGCAAACATTGCACTTAGGTTTCATTAGTGTCTTATTTTAAATTTTTTTTAAATTTTATTTATTTATATTTTATGTATGAGTGCTCTGCATGTATATCTGTGTGCTGGAAGAGGGCATCAGATTTTATTATAGATGATTGTGAGCCACCATGTGGTTGCTGGGAATTGAACTCAGGATCTCTGGAAGAACAGCCAGCGTTCTTAACCACTGAGCCATCTCTCCAGCCCTCTTATTTTAATCTATCTGGGCACACACCTAGTGGTACACACCTTTAACCCCAGCACTCGGGAGACAGAGGCAGGTGGATCTCTGTGAGTTCCAAGGACAGCCAAGGCTACACAGAGAAACCTTGTCTTGAAAAACCAAAATGAAACATTAATATAAACTATTCAACAAAATAGTGATAATAGTGAATACTTTCTACTACTTTATTATTTTCAAAATGTCTTCTGCTGTGACCTGCAAGGCTTTGAGACTGACCTGACTGGGGTGACAGGGATGAATATATGACAGATCCATGGTTAGCAAAGCTGGGCTCAGGTGGGCCTTGTGCTCTGATGGAGACACAGCAGCAGCAGCTAGGAAGCTCAGAGAATTTCTTCCATACAGCTAGAGGAGGAGGTTGGGTTAGCAAACCTTGGTAGAGGTTCCCTGTAGGGGAGCAGTCTCAGGCAGCAGTCACGAGGAGGCAGCTATGGTTGATGGCTTCAGCACACAGTCAACATCTGGACTTGGACCAGGACAAGGTATTGCCATTCCCATCAGTCTGAGGCACTGGGGTTCTTGACATGGCCATGTTCAGGTCAACAATACATGTTCACTCAGGATATCATCTGCTCGCCAGTCTTCAGACTCCTCAATTCAGCTTTTCCTCAATCCTCTTATTTAAAACTCCCCCAAACAGGTGGTTATTATTGAGATTTAAATTGCCCCTATCTCTCATCATTGGCTGATATTTCTGTAGGCAATGGTTGTCTTCTTGGTCTGGTGTTGGATAACATTGTTTTTATTTATCTATAACTGTTCTTTACAATTTCATGCTGGGTCGTGACTTCCTGAATATGAATATTGTTATTATTATTTTTTTAATTCTGAAAAGTCCTCAGCCATTTCCACTTTAAATGTCGCCCCTTTGCATTTCCTTTGTTCTCCAGTGCCCTACTAGATGAACAGTGGGCCTGTCCCTTAAACAGATCTCATCTGTTCTTATGTTCGTTTCTTTGTTTTTAATCTCTGGACCTCTCTGTGCAGCATTCTAAGGTTCTTAGTCCTTTTTCCTCTTTGCTAATTCATCTCCTGAGAATATAAATTCAAATTTTAAATTAAAATACCCGGATGAGGGTTGGAGAGATGGCTCAGTAGTTAAGTGTGCTGGCTGCTCTTCCAGAGGACCCGGGTTCAATTTCCAGCACCCCTACGGCAGCTCACAACCATCTGTAACACTAGTTCCAAGGGATCTGATGCCCTCTTCTGGCCTTGACAGGCACTGCACACACAAGGTGCACAGACTTAACACAGAG